TTCCTTCGGAAGTTATGGTTTTGGTGCATGGGATAAGAATTACCCCCTTCGTAAGCCCATGGTTGACCACGACCATGACTGAATCAAAACCTGCACAGGGGGGAAGGTCGGTGATAAGATCAACCGAGACCTGAGAGAATGGGGCTGCGGCAACGGAGGGGATGGGGACAAGGGGGGGGGGTCGTCGGATGGGTGTCAGATTTCATTTGCTGACAGAGGGCACACCCCTCAACGTACTTGCGAACATAGGTGCCCATAGCGGGCCACCAGAAATCTCGTTTAACCAATTCTTCTGTTTTGAAACGGCCAGGGTGGCCGGCAGTGGGATGGTCATGACACTGTTCCAATATAAGGCGCCGCCCGGCAGGGCGGACGTAGGCGCGATCTTTGTAATAAAGGATATCGTCTTTGATTTTCCAGTCTGAGAGGGCGGATTTCATGGGGGGAAGTGATAGACCATCCAACGCATCGGAAGCAGCAGAGAAAATGGGGTCGGGGTCAGAGGGGTCAGGATTTGCGAGTGTGGTCATGAGTTCAGTATCGAGGAGGCGAATGAACATGGAGTTTGGTAAGAGTGTTTCATTGGCATTATCATCGGGGGAATCTGTCCCATGATCAGGGCGACGTGAAAGGGCATCAGGAGCGACAAGCTTTGTTCCGGCGACGTGATGGAGTTCAATATCATAACATGACAAGATTAACTGCCATCGGGCTTGTCGACGGGTTAATTTCTGTGCGGTTCTGAAATATAGAAGGTTCTTGTGGTCGGTGAATACGATGATGGGGTGAGGGTTCCCTTCCAAATAATGACGCCATTCAGTCAACGCACGAATAACCGCAAGGAGTTCGCGATCAAAGATTTGATAGTTTCGTTCTGCAGGGTTCAATGTCTGGGATAAGTATGCACACGGGTGATAGACGCCATTATCATTGGTTTGGAGCAGAACCGCCCCAGTAGCGACAAGCGATGCATCCGTGGCAACAGCGAACTGTCTAGAGGGATCTGGGTTCCGGAGGACTGGGTGCTTCATAAAGCATTCCTTTAGTTCGGCAAAGGCGGATATACATTGTTCCGTCCAAAGGAACTTGACATCTTTCTTGGTGAGATCAATCAACGGTCTAGCGATGTCGGAATAGTGGGAAATGAAGTTCCAGTAGAAATTGCAGAAGCCTAAGAACGACCGAACTTCTTTTACGGTGGTAGGTGTAGGCCATTCCCGAATACCAGTGGTTTTAGCGTCGTCCATTGCTACGCATCCAGGGCGGATAATCATCCCAAGGTACTCCACTTCTTGAGCATCGAAGGTACATTTTTCCGGTTTAAGGAAAAGTCTTTCTTGCCGAATTCTTTCAAGGACGCGCCGGGTTCGTTCATGATGAGAAGTGAGGTCGTTGGAAAATATCAGGATGTCGTCCATATATATAACGAGCCATCCTTCGTTAATCTCCTGCTGGAACGTCTTATTCATGTACACCTGGAAGGTAGCCGGGGAATTGCAAAGTCTGAAGAACATAACATTTGGCTCAAAGAGCCCGTATTCCGTAGTAAAAGCAGCTTTCCATCGGTCATCTGGATGAATACGGATATTGTTGTATCCGGACCGAACGTCCATCTTCGTAAAGTATTTGGCACCATGTAACCGGGCGACCAGGGAAAGTGGTAATGGGAGTGGGTAAGCGTTCTTGACGGTCCATTCGTTGATATACCGGTAGTCTTGGCAAGGACGAAGATCTCCACTCTTCTTCCCTACGAAAAAGAATCCGCTAGCCTGTGGCGACTTTGATTCGGAGATAAATCCCTTCTGAACGTTTTCGTCAATGAATGACTTGACTGCCACCCATTCCTTCTCAGATAACGGATATACTTTGGACGTTTTTGGAATAAACCCGGGCTTGGTGTCTATTCGGTGATCTATTCCAGGTCGTTCCGGTGGTAGCTGATTCAAGCCATCTTTTGCAAAGATATCGGCGAAGTCGTGAAGGTAAGGGGGGACAAGTTCTTCGAATGACTTCTTCTTCTGTTCGAGTCCAACAGCCAGTGTGAATTGCTGGGCTTTGTTACTAGTCTTGATATATTCGGCGGGTTGGGGTAGAGGTGTGATCTTGGGTTGCTGTTGTTCCGAAGTACTAGTCCCATCTTTTGTCAATGGGGTGTCTAGCGAGACGTTGGTGATTACCCGAAGCTTGGAGGCGTTGGTGGGGTACTCGACTAAAAACTCATCATCTTCTAGATGGTAAGTGGAGACTTCTCGCACGGGTGGTGCATAGCTGGTCATCCATACGTCGTCCTTGGTGTCAAAGGAGTCGTCTTCGTCATCAGGTATGGGGTCCAGATCAGGCAGCGCTGATGGGACTGCTTCTTCATCGATTATTTCTTCAATTGTAGCGCGCGGTACTTCTTCAGCCGTCTTCCTAGGAGGCGCCTTAGGCAGCACTACAACTGGGATCGGTTCCCTTCCTTTTACCTCTTTACGGAAGAGGGGAGGCAAACTATTCTTCTTTCGTTCTCTGTCGACTTCTTCTTCGATTTGGTCGCTTTTCTCAGTTCTAGAAAGTTCCAATGTTTCTGCTTTCCATCGGATTACCGGGTCCATAGCGCATAGCCAGGGGATTCCCAATAAAATCTGATCACGTCGGCTAAGCCGTGTGATGTTAAACTTTCCGATCATAGATCGATTGTCTATTTTGACGATGAGGACGCAATATCTGGTAATAGCGCCTCCTGCCGCATAACTTCCATCCGCAGTAGTGACTCGGAATGGTTTCGAGAGTTTATGCGTTCGAATCCTGTGAGTTTTGACGAACTCTTCGGAGATAAAGGTTCCGGCAGCGCCGGAGTCTACAACGGCTGTTGTTTCGACGGTTTTCAGACGGGTTTTGGAGATGAGGGAAATGGGAACGCGAAGTTCCTTTCTTATTCCAATACTTTGTACAAGTCTGATGGTTACATCGGAAGATACTGACGTCGATCCAGTCTTCCATACTAAAAATCCTCGGCGAGGCGACGGACCGTTGTATCTTCATTGTCTGAGTCGCTGTCGTTCATCTCTTCTCTTCGAACTGGGATCTTCTTCTTCTGCGGGCATGCTCTAGTGAGATGGCCTTTCTGATGACACGTGAAGCATAGTCCTTTCTTCATATGGTCACTTCTTTCGACTTCAGTAAGCCGGTCTACTTCCATGGCGTTTGGATCGTGTCGGTCAATGGAAGGTCTGGGTACATAGCGCTGCCCAGAGGGTTTGGTGGTGATCCGATGGTTGGATCTGAATGCGACACCCCTCTGGTAGTTGCTGTCAAGCCTGACGACTGCGGCGATGTACTTGTCGAAGTCTGTAGGGATGGTTTCCATCTGGTAGACGGAGTTAACGATTCCCTTCTTCAATCCGTCATTGAGAAACATGATTAGGACGGCATCTTGCTTAACACCGGCTTGTGCGGCGAGGGTCTTGAAGCTGGCAATGTAAGATGTAATATCGCCCGTCTGTTTCAACGTCCTAAGTTTGTTCATGGCGGTACCGACAGCGTCGGCAGGTACGAAGGCTTCTTTGAATTTGGTTTCAAAATTCGCAAAGGTCCCATAAGATTTAGAGGCAGAGTTGTCGACTTCTGTGTAGAAGGTAAGTGCCCAACCCATAGCACTGTCTTCTGTCATGTATGTGAGAGCGGTAATAACCTTCTTCTCATCGGTGTTGTAGATTGTAGCGTTAAGCGCGAAGTACGCTTTTATTGCGTACAACCAACGTAGTGCCTGCTGAGGGCTCCCATCGTAAGTGGATGGAGCTCCGGCTTTCAATTCTGGGGTGTTGGCAACGGTGGACATTCTGAGCGTCTGGTCGAGTAATGTCTTCTGTTCAGGGGAACGTTATTCGTTCTCTCGCTGAGTTCTTCCTGGGTTCTGTATAACCTCCTTGATGAGAGGGTCGGTGGTGGAGACTTTAATCTTTTGTCACGGTGAACCGTAGGTTGACTAGGATAGGCGCGACAGTAGACACTCGATAAGAGTGACGTCTAGAGTCGGATCGTAACCTCACAAATGTAAGGCTTCTTAAGACAAATCAGAGAGAGTGTCTCCGACTTGAATATCGATATCAGACACTTAAGATTGGGGGTCTTAAGCGAAGGATGTTCTGGGTAAAACCTAGTAGATTAAAGTGAGGACTATCTAAGTACAAGCCCTGCTTATATAGGTAAGGCGTGCTTTAGGGCCGGTACGTATACGTCATCAAGACGAGTCAGAGATAAGAGAAATGACGTCATCAAGACGAGTCAGAGATAAGAGATGAGTCAGCTAGCGACGGCACGTGGCGGTCGTGCTGTAATACAGATATAGACGACCGTTAGTCTAATGATGGCACATCCTGGTGCGGTCACGACGTAATACACATGAGTGTGGAAAAAGAGATAGGGGGTAACCACTATTGTAACACAACCATGAGCCTGGAGCAGTGAGTAGCCTTTGATTTGCTCACTGAGTCTCACTATGACTGTCGGTCTCTGTTGGTATTGTCTTTGAGAAGAGGAACTCGGACCTTGAGAATGCCGCAATCTTTGCCAATAACACATGTCAGATGTCAGCAAAGGTAGTCCTCGTTGATATATGAAGTCTGTTTGTACTGCAAATCATTCAAAGGTGCTATGTGTGTAAGAAGGTGAGTTGTCAGCTATAAATTGCAACATTGTGACATTTCCTGCTGGCAGATTTGAGATATTACATCAGTCATACATAGCTCTATTGCCATGAAAACATATCAGCAAGAATAATGTGATTTGATTGTTATTATGCAATGATGCAAGTGACCATGGAATACTGTACTTTCAGATTGGCCATTGGCAGTAGAGTTAGTAAATGTTGCTATGTCATCTTTGTGATTCATCATCACACTTGCCCTTGTCCTGCTGATACTCACTGAATGCCTTGCATCAAGAAAATAGGTTGCCAGCGATATGGGGGCATGGTGCTTCAACCTCACTTCAAACCCATTCACAAACAATATTGTGTGATGACTGCAGCAAAATCTGCAGCAAAGCATGCTGCCATCAGTGGGGCACTTCCTCAACCCATCTGTGATTTCTGCATCCCTGTCACCAAGGCCAAACTCTCTATGGACCAATGGGATGCGTGTGCACCCCACAGAATTCATTACAGTGTTCTGGAACTGATAAGCTATGGTGCAGGGGATGCCGGTCAACTTGAGTTTTTGTGGGTTCCTGCTATGAAGGACCAGTGGATTCTCAGCTATGTGCTCCTCCCCGCCAGATATTGGTCGTCCTGGGTGTATCTTTGCTACTGTGTAGAGTACTGGCTCGCAGTGTGGAAATGTTGGGATGGTGAGTCAAAGAAGCATCAAAAGCAGAAGAAAATGAAGGTGCAACAAGAGAGGGCGGTCCTGATTGACACCTCTCGCAAGAATGCTGGTGCACATTTCCTTCAAGCCATGGTTGCCAGAAGAATTGTGTTGGAGGAGTGCATGGCGAATGGTGTGAATGATGAGCGGATTAAATCACTCGATGAGTTCCTCATTCGCGATCACTGAGATTGGCTATTTGTGGAGTTTGATGAGTTGCCTGATGATGTGGACATGTATTTAGAGGCTGATCCATTGCACCCAGAAAACAAAAAGATATTCGGTATGAGTACCTGATGCGGATGTGTGCATCTGCGCTAACTTGCAATGGCCTCAGAAATGGGCTGGGGCGTAAATGTGAACGACATCTCAATGATGCTTGGTCAGGCAGATGATGCATGGATGTCCAAGGGACTTGACCTCTCAGTTATGTTCAAGAAAGAGATGGATGCAGCTCTCAAGAGGCTCAGAGATGGAGGGCAGGAGGTCCACATCACACATGATGAAAATGCAGAATTGCCAGACAAGTGGCATGAGTCCCATGAGCCACCAATACAATTCATTAGCAAAAGAAAGGACCAGCTCCTTCGTGCGGTGAGGAGTGGATGGACTTGTGCATCTGCCCCACTAACATGATATTTGAGTACAGGAAAGAAATACATGAATGCAGCCCTCCATTTTTAGCTGAGCTAGAACACAAAAACAACACTTGTGACACTCACAGTACAAGATCTTCCCACCCTCCTGTCACCCTGCGTTTTTTGTGCCATCAGTACTCTGGCCTTAAACAACAGTCATACAACTCATACAACAGGAGACAACGTCTCTGTCAGCATTTATGTCACATGGTTTTTAATTACTGTACTCTAGCACATGTCTTATGTGTCACCACAACCAACCAATGTCATGATTTGGTCAACCCCTCTGCAGGAGAGAATGGAGCAATGATGCAGATGAATGTCAATGACTCTTCTGAGAGCATCACCACCCTTGCCAGTGAGGTTTCTGTAAGACAGGGCATACATTGGTGGCAAACATTTTTAAACTTGGGAAGGGCCAAAACCTTGCTTGCCCTTGGCATTTGCTCCCTGCATGGAGGACATACAGAAAATGGACGGTATGTGTTAAGTCTGCTCAGACTCTGTGCCAGAGTCCAAGAAACATATCTGAGGGCATCTGGTCAGAAAGTTCCAGGCTATCTGTTATTGCATTAATGTAATAACAGATAACCCAGAACTTTCTGACCAGACATCCACAGTGCACATTGTTTTCTAACCCGCATAATGACTGTATGCCCTTCTGAATGAATCCACCAACAACCACCCCTATTTCTCCTGTTCTACATTGTACCGGCTATCAACTTCCTCCTGCTCCAAAGTACCTCATCACCACCTATTATAGCACTATTTTCTATATAGGTTTGGGTTAGTAAAGGGTTTCTTTAAGCATATTGATAGGCCAGTGCCTCCACTGGAACAGTTCCAGTAGAGGTCAGTCAGTCAGTCAGGTTGGTTTAGTTCCTATATCTCTTCATCTCAAAGCACATGTCAGTCATCACTGGCCTCATCTTTCAGCTAGAGATGGCCTATGAAGAAATGATTGCCGGTAGTGATTCTGGTGCTGCACTACATCCAACTGCAGAAGCTTTTCATGTTGCAATGGATGCTGGAAAGTCCACGGGATTAGTAGAATGTGTGGTGAGTGCATCATGACGATCATGGATGAATTCTGACCCAACCTTGATCTAGTATTCAGCATTTCAGTTGGCTCAATTCCTGCCTGGCAGAAGGTCACAGTCAGATTGACAGTGAGTGTACCTTCTGTTCTTTACAAATACTTTGTTTGATAAGCGATATCATGTCTGTCTACAGCTTTCAATGACTATTACTAGAAGGTCATATTCATTCTTACTGGTGGAGGCAGATGTGTTGTAGTGAACCTCCTTCAGAGAAAAGGTATGTTTGCACAGTGTCATAGAGTGGTCACACAAGTCTTGTCTAGACTCAAGTGCTCGAGGCCTTCGTCCTATTCAAGTGTGCATCTGATGTCGGCTGAGGCTCTACTCGAACTAACAATGAGACAGTCATACCCCCATCCGGCCCCTTCATGCATCCTTCTGCAATTTCCTGACGAACCAATCACACAGTGAAGTGTTTTTTTGGCACAGCACACCACACTATATATCAGCAATGCTGTTCTTGCCCATCAACTCTGCACCATCCAAAATGTTTTCGGCATGGTTTTCTCTTTGTGTGGCATCTGGACATGATATCAGCTCAACAGCTGTTTAGATTGTGATCAGTGGACAAACTGATTACATTAACTCAGTCTTGTTCTCGCCAAATGGGACTCACATTGCGACTGGATCGAATGATTCTATTGTGCAATGTGTGATGCGGCAACAGGGCAGCCAGTGAGCAAGCCCTTGCTGGGGCACACTTCCTCTGTTACCTTGGTTTCTTTCTTGCCAGATGGGACACACATTGTATAGGAGGTGATGATGAGAATCTGCCAAATCTTGCTGTAGCAGAGGGCATCCTGACACAGCTATCATTGGTCAAGAAAGTTTCTATGCAGCGTGCTACTTCGCTCCTGGCTGGTCTTTCTCATTTCCAATTGTCAAAGGTATGTCTCACATGTCCCTCACCTTGCATATACTGACAATTTATTAAGTATTGTTTCTGCACAAGTAAAGTCTGTACGTCTCTCAATCTGGCATTCGTTTCACCTCTTTTTCCAACTCTCAGGTGCCAGACTCGCCCATATCAGGTTTAGGAGGGCTGGGTTATGCACATCTTGCTTGTACAGACCATTGGACTGGCACAGCTGATTGTAAATTTTGCAGCATGAATTTTATAACTATGTCTCCCATATAGGGAAGTCCCATGAGTTTCACATTACTGAATATTGAGTTAGCTGATTGCTATACTGGTTGTGCAGCCTATCTTAGCGCCCACCAAGTTCCAATCCTAAGGTCTGAAAAGTGGCCTCTATCTCTGACCTTGCTATTCTCATGAGTGACGACAGCATTGACCTCACTCACCTCCCTCTCCCATTACAGAACATTATCTGTTCTTTCAACCAATTGAAAGATGATGTCCATGTTGCCCTTCTTACTCAGCTGGGTGATGCTGCTCACCTTCAGCTACATGTTCAAGCGTGCCAACAGCTGAGAGCTGATATAACGCAGGTAAGTCACCCCAATATCAGCTTCCCACATATCTAATAGTTATTTCAGCATTGTGCGCTTGTACCAGAAGTCACATTGGCTACTATGGAGTCCAGTCTGGATTTAATGGTAGCTGATCTTGACGAAGCAAAGGGCCGATCAGCAGATTACCCTGATGCTCCACCTATAGAAGCTGTTACTACCATTCAGAACCAATCTCATGGACACCCTCATATTGAAATCAACCCTGATGTACTAGAGACAGCCTTGCAATTTGCTGGACCCACACGTCTTGCAGGCATTTTTGGTGTATCCTCACACACCATTCAACACCGGGCACTAGAAAATGAGCTTGTAGAACCAGGACACCCAGTATACATCAAATTCACTGATGAAGGTGGTGTCACATGTAGATACTATACATCCTCCACTGGATCTCAATCAGTACTCTCTGATGATGAGCTGGATAGTGCCATGCTGCAAATTCTCACCTATTACCCATGTCTAGGCTGCTGCATGATTGATGGCCAACTTCGTTACATGGGAGTCAGTGTACCTCGCTCTCATATTCAAGCATCATATTCCCGGGTCCATGGCCCTCCGGCAGCTGCATTTGGTGTGCACCATATCACTCGGTGAGTATACAATGTCAAAGGTTATAATTCCCTGACTCATCATGATGGCCAGCATGGCAAGTACTGTTTTATTCACCACTTGTTCTTGATACATTTTAGACAATCAGCAGGCCTTATTCAATGGAAGATTGTAATCCATGGATTCATTGATGGCTACTCATGATACATTACTGGACTTCATGCGCACAATAATAATCATGCACAAACTGTCTTGGAACTTTTTCAAGAGATTGTTCAGACCCATGGCCTTCCTAGTTGTGTTTGTGGAGACCATGGAGTTGAAAATGTAGAAGTCACTAAATTTATGGAGGCTTCACGAGGGCCTGGACGAGGATCATGTATATGGGGGCAGTATGCTTGCTTTTTTCAGGATACTTGTCTGAGCGCTCCTAATGCATCTCTCAGAAGTGTCCATAATATACGTATTGAGCACCTATGGGTGGATTTGACTAACGGAATCGGCTCCAAGTGGAAACTTTTTTTTCAAGATCTGGAAGTCAGCAGTGGGCTTAATGTTGACAATGTGCATCACATATGGCTGCTTCATCATTTATTCCTTGATGTCCTGGGACACGAGATTCATGGTTGGGCTGAGACATGGAACCATCATAGGATGAGTACCCATGACCATGGCATGTCAAGCCCCCATGAAATGTGTTTCCTCAGTATGCTGCAGCATGGTGTGTGTGGATTTGAGATGGCACCTACATTTCATCCTCCAGAGGACACCCTTCAAAGTGATGAAGCTGTTGCAAAGTATGGGATCAATTGGGATGATGTAGACAACCATGGTATTCACTCACATCATGACATGGTCAACCAACCAGACCCTTTTGGCAACAACCCCTTTGTGGCCTATGTTCCAGAAACCCTCAATCATATCCAAGTAGACGAGCCCAACTGTCCATTGTCTCCTGAACAACTGGTTCACCTACATGCAGGCCATACTGTAAGAATGACACATTAAATACCTACTATAGTAATGCAATCCAGATACAATAATTCCAATAACTCATAGGTGTCTACACTTGTAGGGCTGATACATCAGTGGAGGATCCTATCAGGACACTCCCATAATAAGCTTGCACCCCTAATAATCGCTTTTTTGACCACCTACTGTGGGAATTTCCTCACAACACTCAAAAATAGATTGTTCCTCATACCTTCCCACATTATTCCCACACCCCATACATTCGCATTTTTGGCCACCTACTGTGGGAATTACCCCACAACACCCAAAACATCGTCCATTTTTGGAATCCCCACAATATCAATTATTCCCACACCCTTCCCACCTCACTGCAGCTTTACCACTACACCACCATAGGTCTCTCCCTTGTATCTGAGCAGTAGTTTTGTATATAAATGTGTAATATAATATAATAAACCGCTTTTTTTGGGTATATGTGTGACAGCTCTTTCTCCAGGGCTATTTTAAAATGGCCTAGGGTACAAAACACCTTCGCACTTTTGCCCCTTTGATAGGGAAGTGTTCTATGGTATTCAGGATATATTTATGAGTGTATATGAAGAGATTCCCCCACTTGTTTGACCCCCTGAAGCGCCCTACATCAATAGATATAGCATATATACAGGAAAACACAAAACATGTTCCCATGTATTTATTTCTAGGTGGATGTACTTGCAAAATCTATCCCCAGCATCTATTCAACAGTAGGAATAATTGATCAGGAGTCCAGGATCATAGGACAAGACCCTGTGATGCAGTATACCTACCCTCTCCTGGTGGTTTACCCCCTGTGAAAAAATTTCCTGTAGGACCGGACCTCAAGGATGGTGAGGGGTCTATTCCTACTCATATTTAGAGTGTGTCTATCACATGGTTACCACAGGAAACCTACAGGATTCATCTGCAGGAACAAAATTGGACAAAATCGCATGTTTGACATTTTTAATGTGTCTGACTACTCTATCCTTGCATCCATGATCCAACCTGTCTATATATCATTTACATAGCATATATACTTGCTTTTGATGACAAGGATCAGCTCAAAATGAGCTGGATATTTAAGATTGTGTCTATACTTGCTATTTCTACTGATAAGAGGCCCATACATTCAAAACATCGAAATGTAATAATCAGACACCTGAAGTACATTGTAGATATATTCAGTATCAGGGCTCTAAATTTACTCAGCAATCCACCCAGCATTGAGACCTGAAGAAGTGAAATAGATAAGAAATTGAGTGTGGGAAACCTCAAATGCTCAAAACATCGAAAATGGTCAGTTGAGTAATAATGGTAGGACTTTAATACTGCATCAACTTACTTTACCACTACATCCCTTCCACATATCTTCCACCTTCAGGGCAAAGTGTAGTATAGGTTCCTTGTACAGTCTAACATATATCCTATTAAAATTTGATGAAATCTTCGACCTATATCACATCTAAATCCTACTTTTGTGTGTTATGTGTCAATTCTCACTCTTTACATATACATTCCTTTGCTTCCCTTTCATTCAATACTTGATGGATCTTTCTGAAACTTTAGATCTATGATACTGAATATATTTGAGATGTGCCACAGGTGTCTGATTATTAAATATCGATGAGCTGAAGATATAGGACCTTAATCAGTAGAAATGGAAAGTATATGCACTGTCTCAAACTTCAGCCTATTTTGAGCTAATTCTGGGCATACAAAGCATGGGAATCTTTTCATATACACTCATAAATATATCCTGAATACCATAGAACACTTCCCTATCAAAGGGGCAAAAGTGCGAAGGTGTTTTGTACCCTAGGCCATTTTAAAATAGCCCTGGAGAAAGAGCTGTCACACATATACCCAAAAAAAGCGGTTTATTATATTATATTACACATTTATATACAAAACTACTGCTCAGATACAAGGGAGAGACCTATGGTGGTGTAGTGGTAAAGCTGCAGTGAGGTGGGAAGGGTGTGGGAATAATTGATATTGTGGGGATTCCAAAAATGGACGATGTTTTGGGTGTTGTGGGGTAATTCCCACAGTAGGTGGCCAAAAATGCGAATGTATGGGGTGTGGGAATAATGTGGGAAGGTATGAGGAACAATCTATTTTTGAGTGTTGTGAGGAAATTCCCACAGTAGGTGGTCAAAAAAGCGATTATTAGGGGTGCAAGCTTATTATGGGAGTGTCCTGATAGGATCCTCCACTGATGTATCAGCCCTACAAGTGTAGACACCTATGAGCTATTGGAATTATTGTATCCCATTTTATCTATAATTGCAGGAAGTGATACATCAAGTCTACAGGGACAGGTGCTACATGCCCACTTGGCACAGTTCATTGATGACAGGACCATTCACAGTAGGAGGCATTTTTGGGAGCAAGCATTGGCGATGTGCATACAGTTAATGTCTTCAACAGCAATAGATGTTAGCTAGTAGATGACAGTAGCCAATACTAGTCATGTATTTTGTCCAGTTGTTTACTTGATCAAACCAAGTTGAAGTGCTAATGAAGCTTGCAAAGGCAGTAACAGTACTGGACCAATGTGATCAACATTACTTCGATGTGCCTGAAGTGCTCATGCGAGCCATTTCTCACCAGCATTGTGTTTGACCTTTTTTCATCGGTACACATTGAATGGTGTACCATCAACATGCAAAAATCCATCATGCCACTCTTGACATGCACATTCCTCAACCCAGTCCTTCACTCAATCTATCTCAATCTGATCTTTGGCCTCCAGTGGGTTGAAGTGGATGACATCATCATGGTGCTGCAGAATCACAACCATAACATGCCAATAGCAGTTATATACTGTTCTGACCAAAACCCCTGCCCAGTCAGCCATGTGTTCTGTGGTTGCTGCATTTCTGTAGTGGCCAGCAGCATTCAAAAATATTGCCAGCTGAATGGTGACAGGTAGTTGTGGATTATAAGAATTGTTGTAAAAACCAGATGATGGATAATTTTATTGATGAGTTCTACAAACACAAGGACATCCAGGTATCAAAAGAACTTATGGAATCCATGCTGATATTTGATGATAGATCAGAATCAATAGAGCCCAAGTCTAAGACTGAGTTGGAGTCCAACTGAGCTAGACTCATCAGATGGCTCAGGGTCAGATGAGTCATCATCTATTAACATGTTTACTAGCTTGAGGTACCAAGCAAGCTTCAGATTCCTGTTTGTTTCATGAAGGGCCTCTAGTACCATTTTACACTCTGAGATGTGCATCAGGAGGGATGGTAGAGAATAGTACAGGCTTATCAATTATCTATTCCACAATACTGGATACTTTCCATGATAGGATTGATCAGTAACATGTGTGTTTTACGTGGAGCTTGAATATCAATACATGTTCTTGTTTTTGTGAAGTTCCAACATATGCACACCACATACTTTGAAACCCATTATTGTACTTCAGTTGTCACAGTAGGTGAGGATCAGTTCTCTTGTTAGTTTGTGTAGCTCACTGAGTAGTGACTTAAAGTAGAAGATGTTGCATGCCACAGAGGTAGGTGTAATATACTCTGCTTTAGTCATGCAATTGTAAGCTGTTTCCTGGTGCTCCATGTGATTGGTGAGTCATGTAACATTACCACATATCCAGACATTGAATATCTATGTGTTACAAACTAGGATAGTTCTAATGACAGACAACTTGATAAGAGTTAAGACCTCTGCTGAGATTCTACATAAGACAATAAGTCAAGCGTTCAGTGTAAGCTAAGACAGAAGGAGTGCTTCTATCTTAAAGTACGGTTCAGATGACAAGAGATTGGAGGTCTCAAGTGAAGGATGTTTCAGGTAAAACCTAGTAAGATTAAAGTGCAGAACTAAAGCGTACAAGAGAACTATTTATAGGGAACTACAAGTGCTTTAGGGCAGATGTGAGAACAGATATGAGTCAGAGATAAAGGACGTGTAAGTGATAGCAAGAATAGGTCATCTAATGATGGCAATGGCAGTCGTGATGTAATACAAGGTATGAGTCAATGATAAGTCTAGTGGTGGCATCATGTGGCTCATGATGTAATACA